CCGCGACGGCTTACCGACGTGGAAGCTGTATGTAGATGGGNAAACTGCGATCAAAGGGCAAATCCTGGCTGACTTTCTGACCGAGTTTACCGCACCACCCGAAGAGAATATTGAAGACCGCGACGGCTTACCGACGTGGAAGCTGTATGTAGATGGGGCCTCAAATGCCCAAGGATATGGAGTAGGCCTCATCCTTACATCCCCAGAAGGTTACAACCAAGAATATGCCCTGAGATTCAACTTCCAAGCGTTCAACAATGAGGCGGAATATGAAGCACTCATAGTCGGCTTAAACCTGGCTCTATCAATGGAAGCACAGCAGATCATGATCTACAGTGACTCGCAACTAGTAGTAAGACAAGTCGAAGAAGAGTATGCTGCCAGAGACGAGAAGATGGCACTCTACGTGACCAAAGTACGAAAGGTCCTGAGAAAATTTGTATTAGCCGAACTGGTTCAAGTTCCCCGAGAAGATAATTGACGGGTGTACAAAAGAGGTTTTTTGTTTCCACTAATGAAATGTGTATCTATGCCTGAAACAGATTACATCTTCAGAGAAATACACGAAGGGATGTGCAGAAACCACATTGGAGCAAGGGTGTTGGCGAATAAGGCGCTACGGCTTTTGATAATCCTATATTAGCAATTTGATAATCCTACATTCACGGGCTTTTGCGAAGGACTGGGGATCCGAAATTATTTTTCATCTCCCGCGCACCCACAGTCCAATGGACAAGCCGAATTAACTATCAGAACGATCAAGTTGGCGTTGAAAACCAGGTTGGAAGCTTCAAAGTCACAATGGGTAGATCACCTCCCAACGGTACTATGGGCGTACCGAACAATAGCGAAGACAGCAACTGGCGAGACACCTTTCAGCTTAGCGTACGGAACAGAAGCAATGGCTCCGATTGAGGTCGGCATTCCTTCAGCAAGAGCCGAACTCTTTGATTCCGAGCAAAACGAGAGATCCTTACTGATAAATCTCAACCTCCTCGACAAAAAAAGGGATGAAACACTACAACGGATATTCTCCTGCCAGAGGGACATGGCCAGATTTTACAACAGACGGGTAAGAAGAAGAAGTTTCAAGCCAGGCGACTTGGTGTTGAAAAAGCTTCTCCCAGCAAGGAAGGACCCCTCACATGGCAAACTCGGTCCCAANATGAAACACTACAACGGATATTCTCCTGCCAGAGGGACATGGCCAGATTTTACAACAGACGGGTAAGAAGAAGTTTCAAGCCAGGCGACTTGGTGTTGAAAAAGCTTCTCCCAGCAAGGAAGGACCCCTCACATGGCAAACTCGGTCCCAACTGGGAAGGACCTTATCTCGTGAAGAGAATAGTCTGACCTAGAAATTACGAACTGCAAACAGAAGAAGGGACGCACTCCCCTCTTCCACCCTTCGGAGGAACAGTCTCAGGTGAGACAGAATGGGGGACCGAAAACCCGACCTTGTCCGCTGAATTCCCCTCCAAGTCGATGTCGCCCTTGGAAAGTGCAGGAGAAGACGGGGTCACGACAGCATCCCCTCGGGGAAGAACGACTCCACTTTTCTGTCCCAAAGAAATGGGTATGGGCCTAGTGGCCAATGCCTCCCTGGGTGGCAGCTGGCCTCCCTTTGCCAATCTCTTCCTCTTTCTCAACTGCTTAGTATCCGAGAACACCGTCATGATCAGATCTTGGTCCATGTTGCCCGACGGGGAAACAGAAGGTCGAGCAGCCTCTGAAGCTTGGATAATGGGCTGTCCAAGCCCGTATTTAGCTAGGTTGTCGTCGATCACCAAGTAGAAGAAGTCCCTCAACCCAAAGGCCTCAATTCTAGCAATTCGGGCTGCCTCCTCCGCGCCGAGTACTGGGTAGAATTCTACAAACCGGATCAAAAGTTAGAAACACAAAAAGAAAAAAGGAGAAAAGAAGATAACAAAGGGGAACACAGCCAGTAGATTAGCCTTACGAGTGTTCCTTGGGACCCCCCAAGATCTTGGAACACGAGAAACGTCGCCAGGCTCCCCTGACAACTCCCAGGAATCGCCCTTGGCAAAAAAAAACCTCAATTTCCATCATTTATTGGAAGACGGAAGCCCGGAGATCAGAGTCTTTGCCTTTACTCGTTTAGCAAAATACAAGAAACCTGAGGAGGGAGAAGACTTCAATTGGAAAAGGAAAGCAAATTCTCGTATAGAAGGAAGGGGAAGGTTCTCACTCTCAAACCAATGGACGAGGAAACTAACCAGAGGCCCCAACCATTGGGAGACAGTTGGGCTGGGCAGACGTTGTAGAATCCGAGAACATTCCGGATGAAAAGATGGATAGGAAATCAAAGACTAGCCCGGAAAAGATGGATAGGAAAGCAAGTGAGTCCAGGGAGGATAGAATTGCACCTTTCGTGCTTCCCGGGGGAATGTAATTCCACAAAATCAGAAAAGTGATACTCACGCCTCAACTCCTCCAAATCCTCATCATCAAGACAACTAGGGGTCCCCTCCGCACAACAAGTCAGGTCAAACGGTTCGCGACGAGTTCNCAGCCCGGAATGTAGACTCGAAGAAGCAAGTGAGTCCAGGGAGGATAGAATTGCACCTTTCGTGCTTCCCGGGGGAATGTAATTCCACAAAATCAGAAAAGTGATACTCACGCCTCAACTCCTCCAAATCCTCATCATCAAGACAACTAGGGGTCCCCTCCGCACAACAAGTCAGGTCAAACGGTTCGCGACGAGTTCATTTTTTAGAAACGGGGGGCAGAACCGGCTCGGATTTCCTTTTCTTCATTCCAGCCAGAGAACCAGGAGGAAGGGCAGNGACGAGTTCATTTTTTAGAAACGGGGGGCGGAACCGGCTCGGATTTCCTTTTCTTCATTCCAGCCAGAGAACCAGGAGGAAGGGCAGAAAGAGGTACTGCCTCTCCTGAAGGCACCAGGGATGAAGCTCCGAGAGTAGACTCAGGGGGTTCACCGCCGACAGAAAGGGAACGCTCGCTGGAAGAAGCCGTGGTGGTCTCCTCGGCCTCCCCACTAACGGATTCCGATTCGAAAGAGGAAAAAATAACAAATTTCCCCATCAAAAGATCGGATCTCACGCCAGAATGAAGGGAAGGGAAGGGAAGGGAAATGCAAGGCACAATCTGCCAAAAATAAGGGTTTCAAACACCAGGCCCTAAGTAAGGATACCGTCGCCACTGAAGAACGGTCTACGAATCGCCAAAGGGAAAAAAGGTCATCGGAGTGTTCTCTGAAATAACTAAATCTCCAGACCAAAAGGCGGAATCCAAAACCCCACCAGTGAGGGTTAAATGGATCCAGATAAAAATAGCAAGGGGAAAAGAAGAAAGACGTACCTAGTGAAACGCTAGAAGAAGAGAAGAACCAGAGACGAGGATGTCATAAGTCGCCCCAAAGTTCGGGTCAAAACACTTCGAATACACAGAAAGGGAAGAGAGCACGAAAGAAGGTGGAACTCGAAACCACAGAGCAAAAAGCCAAGAGACCTTCCCATTTTTTTTACGAGGGACATATATGTATGCATGAAACATTAAATTCGAGATAGACAAGTGACAGGACACGCCACAAAAGCCGTATCCACTAGCTCACCCGATGGTGACACGTGCGCATTGTCATCCCATCATCGCCGACAAACGTAGGCATGACCCAATCCTGGTCAGAACCAATAGCCGCACACAGTCATCACTTCGAAAGCCTAGAACACACCCAGTAAAGTCATTTTTAACCCCAGGCCAGAAATGATAACATCTCCATGACCTGGGGCTGGGGGGCAACTGATACGGACGAAATTCACGGCCAAGGCCTTGATGGCCTAGAAGCCCGACCAGCCCAAGAGGTCCGGTGCAGAAAAGCGGGACCTGACATCGGCAAAAAGCCTATAGCCCAGCAGTCTAGGCCCAGCCCAAACCATAAGGCGATTTGGAGAGTAAAAGCCCAATCCAAGCTATTTCTGGATGAACAAAGGGGACCACGCGTCCAGGGGGACCACCCCTGACACCTGCGGCAATCTCAGAGANGCCCAAACCATAAGGCGATTTGGAGAGTAAAAGCCCAATCCAAGCTATTTCTGGATGAGCAAAGGGGACCACGCGTCCAGGGGGACCACCCCTGACACCTGCGGCAATCTCAGAGAAGGTGGAGCACCAAGCCGCCAAAGATTATAGCAACGGCAACGCCGGATGAACAGTGATAATGGTGGCAGAAGAAGCAAGAGGGGGTAGGAGGAAAGGACAGCCGGAGGCCCTAGGAGAAGTTGGTATAAATAGATAACGATAAGAAGACTGGAGCTCTCCCCCCACCAAAAAATAAAGATCAATGAGTGCTAAGAAGCCAAAGAACACAGAAAACTAAGAGAGAATACCTAGCCCCTTATCCTTTGTAAGTGGACCGCGAGTCCCCAAATTACTAGAGGCATTTCACCAACCGATGAATATATAAATCCAGCGAGCAAGAAGCTCCGTTGATAGTGGATTATCTGATAGAAGGGAGGAAAAAAAAAAGAGATGGAGGAAGGCGACATGACAGTGGTTGTTTGACAGGTGAGGTGACTGGAGAGGTAAGATTTTTGAAAAAAATTGTGGGTGAAAAATGATGGTTTTGGGGGGAANCTTCGGCTAAGGTGAACCACTTGTATTCCTAGCCTAACTAATCACAAATCTATAATCTGCAAAGCCATTTTGGAACGCCATCCCATCACAATCGGGCTTGGGCCCTAAAATCCGAGCACCATCAAAATCTAATTCATTGACAGATCTAGGGCAAGGCGGTATCATTGTCTCTAAATCACCAAAAACTTAGCTAAATATTTATTTATAAAATGACCCCCAAGATATTTATGGATTTCCCCTAGAAAAATTTTCAATTACTAACAATAAGATCAAGAATTGTTTTTGCAAACCAGGCCGCATGAATATTATTGCAAATTTCTCACTATAAATTAGAAATTATAGTTTCATATGCAATTTACAAAATTTCATCTGTGTATAGTTATTATTCATCCTTTTTTCCTATTGTATTTTCCATTTGCAAGATTCTGTTTTTCCATGTAAATGATAGTCAAATTTTTTAACTTTAACCCCCAATCCACCCAAGCAAAAATAGAAAGGAAAATTTCCCAACTTCGCCACTATGCACATACACAGAGAGAGAGAGAGAGAGAGGCCAACCTCAATCGCAATTACACGTGGTGAGAGGTTACATACATCTTTGTATCCGAGTTTGGCTGCAATATCTGAAAAGTGGAAATATTTGCCCAATTAAGTATTTACCAAACCAATAACACCTTAAAAAGCATGAGTTTGAATGTATGAAATCAAGAAGAATTAGCATCAAGAGAAATTAATTATTAAATGCATTAACATGAGGATTATCACTCATCTACTTGGACACAGCCAGTATGTTCTAGTCTCTGAAACACAGGCTTTCAAGTGTTTCAAAGTGAACAGTAACAGTTAAACCAAAAAAATGAAGCCTAGAACTCTGAAAAAAGATAGTGCATATAAGTGTTCACGTGATCATACTTTCCAGAGAAACCCTAGCATTAGCATTGGCGTAAGCTTCACCCCTCTCTTCCAACAGGGTAGATAAACACTTGAAAGCCTGCATGGAATTGAATGTCAAGGAGAATTGAATGTCAAGGAGACGTGCTTATCACAGAAAGTCGAGGGAGAAATGTCAAAATAATCAACACCGTCTGTTTCTGTATTAATCAATAACCATTATAAATGAATCAAATTGGAAAATCGAGGGAATTGTATTCGTTTTCCAGTATGCAGGTGAAGTGCCACCTTTGCATAAGCATCGCCAGATTTGTGATGCAAAAGAGGGCGAGAACCAGTTCCTACAGCTGCAATTCTCTGTGCCAAGGCTTCCAAAGGTACATCTAACCAAACACTAATTCCTTTCTGCATGTACTTCCTGGCAAGATAAAAGTATAGGTGCAGTTAAACAACCAAGGAGTACATCGAGAAGCCAGCCATAAATAAAGAACAAAGAAAATAAGCCAGTGTTATACCAATTGATGGGCCGAATAACTGCACCCCCGCCAGTGGAAACAACTAGCCGATGCATTGAAGACAGCTTGTGCAATACCTCAGTCTAAAAGGCAAAGTGTAATAAATAACTTTTAAGTACATGTATATTATGGGAATATAAACCACAGTAATGTAATTGCATTGGCGAATGTTACTGGATGTATGTACCAAAGAAAAAATGTTACTGGTTTTGAATGCAAGACTAGCTTATGGGTTACAAGTTACTATCTTACTGCATAACGGGTCACTAAACATTCAGGAAAACACACATGATCATATCAACTTATTTCCAGGATCCAAAGAAAATTGTCTGTCCCATGTAAAACAGAATGTTATGCTTTTAGCCAACTACATTTCTAGAATGTTATGCTTTTAGCCAACTACATTTCGTTCTCACAATTACAAGCATCCCACATTTGAATCATCTAGTTATTTCAGTAGCAAAAAGCAGATTAGTGATCATTACTTTTTGTGGTATCTCTTTTTCAGTGACTCCCTAAACTGGTCGATGAAAGACAGCCTATGGCTTTAGCATGACTTGCGACTTTTGAAGTCTACCTTAGAGACCATTCCTCTTTTAAATGAGTAAAATGAATTGCTGCAGAAAGCATACCCATATCTGTAGCAGATCTTCTCAGATAAATATTAGTATTCTAATGAGTTCCAAAATAAGATACTAAAATTACATGCAATATACAAGAAGGCAGTGACGATTCCAGGACACTTACTCACATGTCCTAATCCAGCAGAGGAAAGTGGCTAATGGTCTTTCTATCATAAATCAGCACTATGCTAAGATTAGCTAGGATTTCCGAAGATGCCTTCTATGAATAAAAAGAACTATAAAAATCTGAGTGGCTGAAGCTGAAGCACAACTTTCCAAGTGAGAGAGAGAAAAGCAACTATGGGAAAAGGAGAGTTAGGATTCCTCCTTTCTTATTCATAGCCATGCATGAGACTTTCATCTCACGTGGTACTGTTTTCCCTCAAACCCAGTACTTCTTGACAGGTGAAAGCAATTTTTTAACACTGCCTTAAAAAAAATTCCATCGACTTGATCTTTCATAAAGTATCTACACAAAGGCCAAATTTTTAAATTTGATCCTGTCACATATGGGAGCTACCACATCTAACATCACCTCCGCTTTGAACCACTCCATCCTTGTCATATCCAAATAATGTGTAGGTTGTATTTGGTATCCTTATAAAAGTGGAAGTGGGAATGTCAAGATAAACAGAGAAAAATTTGAAAAGAACACCCATAACCAACTCCAAATATAGTGAGAATACACCAGATAAACTTGCTGCAATGCTTCTCTACTAACCTCATTATCTCTGAAGAAGCTCTCACCATATAGATTAAAGATTTCAGTGACAGTAGTTCCCCCCACAGCCAGCTCTATTAATTTGTCACTGAAACACCCACACAAAGTACAACCCATTTACTGTTAGCAAGTCTAATGTGCCAGCCAAGGAGATCCTTTGCAACACAGATTATAGAGTTGCTCAAAAATAGAATACTTTCAAGTACCGATGGTCTTGAGACCAACCAAGGGACCATAAATGCCAAACCCAGGATCCCCTAGGTTGGTGAAACCCTTCATTGGCATTGCACAGTTCCCGATAAAACTAGAAGACTGTACTCCTGACTTGACCATTAATTCCAAAAAGAACCCAATTAACAAGCAACCCCGCTACAAACCTGTCAAAAAATGAATAGCCAAGTGCTTCTGACAAAATCCTGCCAATAGTTGTTTTTCCAGAACCCATCATTCCTGCATTTTTGTAACCCTATAGTTGAATATAAAAGATGTTCAAGTATTCGCAAACCACATACGAAAAAAGGGTACTCACCAACTATATATATACACTGTGCACTTAGATATGGTTCAATCTCTTCTGATTTATTCTGCAATTTCAATATATCTCAATAGGATGAATGCAAAAGGCTGTAAACAATGAGGCAATGAACTTCATTTACTAACAGATAAGGACTCACACCTTCTGGACATCATGGGTTGAAAATAAGAAGATTCAGAGGACACTATTTTCATACCTTTAGAATTGTAGCTTCATCAAAGGTTTCCGGAAAACTTTCAGACTCCAACAATGAAGCTACAAGAGAAAGATATAAATAAAATGTCATCAACGCACTTATAGTCAATAATTACTCCAATAGGCTACCTATTATCTTTTTGTTTTGGGCTGGGGTTTTTTTTTTTTTTTTGTGGGGAGTGGGGGGACAATTTAGCTACTACAATTAGCAGTTCAATGACATCATTAATTATTATCCATCAATTCCATAAAATAAACCCAGATCTATTCTTAAACATCCTCTTCAAAGCAATTACATTGTTATACCTATAGTTATTAAAATCGTACGATTCGCGATTCGATTCGTACGATTTGGTCTGATACACGTACAAAACGATTCGTATCTTATATGAAAATCGTTTTACAGTTGAATCGCATCTGAATGGTACGATTCGATTCGTATCACACCCAATCGCACGATTCAATTATTTTTTTTAAAACCCAAATTTTTTACAACATGATTTTTTTTGTCCGCTAAACAGTCAAACGATGTCGCTTTGTTTGTAGAGGAACCCACGCCCTAACAAAAACTCAATCTCTTTGTTCGTTCTCTCTCAGACGTCGTCTAAAGCTCGCACTGTGTTGTCTATAACTAAAAGTCACGGCTAATGCGCTTGCATTATCGATTGATTTTTGTTCTCAATTCTTTCATGGCTAGTTTGTTAGGTTTCTAATTTTTTGTTTCAAAATATTGGCCTGTATGTTTTCTCCCGATTAATTTTCTTATTTGTTCTTTTTTCATTCATGTTTTTAATCTAATCTATATTTTGTGTTACTATTTTAATTCTTGAATAGCCATGATTCTTTGCTGAAATTTTTTTTTTCAAGTTGTTAAATTTGAAAATGGTTAAGCAAAAGAAGAAAATGAAGAAAAAGACTAGCGTCTTTCCATTTAGACAACATGATTATGTCAATTGATTATTTTTAAAATGCAATAATGTTCAATATTCAATATTTTGTCTATTTTAAATGTATAATATTATTTTTTATTTTTGTTCAAATTTTGTGTCGAATCTTAGGATTCACGATTCGATACAATTCACCGATTCTCAAATTTAGGATTCCAATTCACCATATGAATCGCGATTGGATAACTATGGTTACACCCATGTCAGTCCACTAAAAACTCACGAAATTTGTTCTTCTATAGGTTGTCTGCATTTTGAAAGTTTCCATGGGTGAACCTAAACATCAGGCCCTACAAAATGTTCATAAAAAGTGCAAATTTGGGAAACTATTATGTTGTGGTATCCTTAAATAATCGTAAGAAACAAGATTGCTGGTGATACTTATCATGAGAAAAGATTCAGAACGGCAAAAACATTGTCTAGTTATTGTAGGTCTAAGGATAAATAAAAGATGATATAAAACAAGACTACCATACTAATTACTGCAGGTAAAGCCTTTCTTTTTTTCCTTTCACAGTTGTGCCACATGTGATCATCTATAATCCCATGAAAACCTTGAGATTATCAGTCAGGGTCTCTTTGTGCTTGACATTAAACCTATGCACAAGATCTGGAGATGATTCTTTTAGCAAAAAATCAGTTAAAATTGATTTAGACATAATTGTTGAAGGCATGTTTTAGAAGATTAAGTAAGTCTAACTTCCAGCAGAATTAAATCTTTGAAGTTATCCCCCATACCATTACGCATATTTTGAACTCTCCTTTTTCATACATGACTTACTCTTGTTATCCCAATGTCCAACCGCTAAAACATAGGTACCAAAAAGTTGGAGTGCAATAATACCTTAATGCCTTAGAAATATTCTTGCACATAATACTTTCAAGCAAGGTAATGAAAAGGCTTGGTTTCCATTCAAAACACATGTTATTTTCAGAATATTTAAACTTCATGGCAAGACAAGTTCTTCAAACTCCTATCCAACAACCACATATTTTGGTCAATCTACATTTTCAACAAAAGGATATTCTGCAGTGAGATTATCTGTCTGTAGAAAGATTCTACCATTGCTTGANGTATAATATTATTTTTTATTTTTGTTCAAATTTTGTGTCGAATCTTAGGATTCACGATTCGATACAATTCACCGATTCTCAAATTTAGGATTCCAATTCACCATATGAATCGCGATTGGATAACTATGGTTACACCCATGTCAGTCCACTAAAAACTCACGAAATTTGTTCTTCTATAGGTTGTCTGCATTTTGAAAGTTTCCATGGGTGAACCTAAACATCAGGCCCTACAAAATGTTCATAAAAAGTGCAAATTTGGGAAACTATTATGTTGTGGTATCCTTAAATAATCGTAAGAAACAAGATTGCTGGTGATACTTATCATGAGAAAAGATTCAGAACGGCAAAAACATTGTCTAGTTATTGTAGGTCTAAGGATAAATAAAAGATGATATAAAACAAGACTACCATACTAATTACTGCAGGTAAAGCCTTTCTTTTTTTCCTTTCACAGTTGTGCCACATGTGATCATCTATAATCCCATGAAAACCTTGAGATTATCAGTCAGGGTCTCTTTGTGCTTGACATTAAACCTATGCACAAGATCTGGAGATGATTCTTTTAGCAAAAAATCAGTTAAAATTGATTTAGACATAATTGTTGAAGGCATGTTTTAGAAGATTAAGTAAGTCTAACTTCCAGCAGAATTAAATCTTTGAAGTTATCCCCCATACCATTACGCATATTTTGAACTCTCCTTTTTCATACATGACTTACTCTTGTTATCCCAATGTCCAACCGCTAAAACATAGGTACCAAAAAGTTGGAGTGCAATAATACCTTAATGCCTTAGAAATATTCTTGCACATAATACTTTCAAGCAAGGTAATGAAAAGGCTTGGTTTCCATTCAAAACACATGTTATTTTCAGAATATTTAAACTTCATGGCAAGACAAGTTCTTCAAACTCCTATCCAACAACCACATATTTTGGTCAATCTACATTTTCAACAAAAGGATATTCTGCAGTGAGATTATCTGTCTGTAGAAAGATTCTACCATTGCTTGAATCTCCTCGCTAAAACATTGAAACTAGAAGAGACAACTATTAGGTTAAAAAAGGTTTGACTCCTGAATCTGTCTTGCACAGTTTCTCTCGGTTGTGATGTTACTACGAAATATCTCAAAAATCTTTGCGCGACCCCACAATAGGCATCCAACTCGAACTATTAAGCTTTCTCAAAGGTGACTCAATTGCCATCTCTGAAGTAAATCATATAAATTAAGATCACCATTTTCCAGTAAAAAGGAATTGAAGACAGGGAGGTAAAAAGTGTTTGAAAGAACACAAAAAACGGAACATGTCACTATGACATTACTTGGTACTACCTCAAAGTAAGTCTGCAACCTAACTCATCACGAACTTCATAAGATCATCCTCAAGTCCTATGTTTCTAAACTCCTACCCCATGGAAATGAAACACAACTCGTCCGTCCAAATCAAAAATCAGCTCTTATTTGTCTAAAGGCAGTTAGCCAGTGGCTATCTATCCCATCTTCAATCCTAGGAAATGCACCTATTTCAATTCATGCCAAATGATACGTAATTAGGCGAACTCATTTTTCAACCAAATGTATGGGCTTCTCCACTTCTCTGAACCAAGCCATCTAACCAGCCAAGTGCAATCAACTTTATAGACCCCAACCAAGAGATACCCATGGATATCAAATACAAAGAAAGCATTCATGCTTTGTGTATCTTGAATGGTACGAGAAGGTTTTATCTTCCCTAGCCGTGCACAAAACATAATCACCTTAGCCCACCAAACTTGAGGCAAGATGTGAAGAAGCACCTAGCCGTGCACAAAACATATGGAGTTAACAATAACTATTTGCAATTGTGATTTCTATTCAGTTTCCACAATATCTTGTCCTCAACATTGTATCTTGTTCTCTACCTTATTCAAAGGGCTCATAGCAGCTTAGTGCAGTAAAGGGTAGGGAGATGGCAATTACCTAGTGCAAATAATATCAAAAATTATGTCTATATCGCCAACCTCCCAGCACTTCCGTCTACTTGACCAAACTGGCTGATGACACTTATTATAGCATAAAAAGCTTGTGAGAGCTAATACTATTAATGAATTGCAATTGCAATGTGGTATGTCATTATAGAAAAGAAAAGAAAAAAAAACATTTTCAACTATTACCCAAGTTTTGTGGGTTGTAACTACCTGGAATGTTTTTAGAAGAACAGGAAACCTTCAATGCTATTGGTCTACGCCAAGTTGCAGCTTTTCTAGATTGCAAATTACAAGACACAAGCATGTGAAGCCTCTGTTGTCCCTTACATCTCCGCAAAAACAGTAATGGTCCACTTGGATTCCTTACGATCTTCTCTGAGTCAATCCATGTAGACAACTGCAAGCTCTGGGAAACTTTAGCCTCCATTCCTCTTCAATCCTACCCAAATAGCTCGATTTCACCCGAGCTTCAATACAGCCTCTCTGCCAAAAATAAATAATTCAATCATCCCAAATTACATTGCCGGGATTAGACGTGTGAAGAGTCTAATCTCCATTGTCAATGGTCAATTTATTTTTAAGATAACCAATTGCCGCCGATTGTCGAACACTCCCAAATTAAGGAGCCAAACTGGGCACTGACCGATGTAAACAGTTGCCCCCCACCCACCCCAAAACTCGCAAAACACACACATTTTTCTCACCAGTCAAACAGGCTATTAACCTGAAATTTACCAGATTAGACAACTGTTCAACCAAACCAAAAAAAATAAAAAAAATTCTACCACTAGGATTGCAAAATTATGCACCTGTCTCGGTGCACGGACGGAGTAGAGAAGGCCTCTCTCTCTCTCTCTCTCTCTCTGAAACTTCCCTCGATGTTAATTGTTAGTGGTCGGCGAGAGCTTATGCCGGATTGAGTTGGGGCCAATGATTTTTTGGTGCCGCTGGATTGGATGGGTAGGACTTTTTTGAGTCTGCCAGAAATTGTCTTCCCACCAACCCCTGATACAATGGCTAGGTGGCAATGGGGAGTTGGTAGAGCTTTCCCATATTTCTTACTAGGGATAATTTGAAAAAAAAAATTATTTTAAATTAATTTAATTCAGAAAATTGAAATCAATATAGAGTGATTAACATTTTTTGGGAATTCCTATTTCAATAGAGATTGCTCTAGCAATAGGAGCCAAAAAAATTCGCATCTTGTCTATAAAACTCAAAGTCTCTTAAATTCACAGTTCACAATTAGACATAACAATAATCAAAGTTCATAATCAAAATTCCCCCCAAAATCATCATTCCGAACTCATCAAATTTTGACAACCATCAATTCCAATTAACATAAACCAATCACACGTGTGTTTGGTTCACTTTACTAAACTTAATTCACACAACAGACACCTAAAGAGAAAATAAAGGCAAACAACCAACAACTAAAGGCACTTTGCAACCCACGAAAATCTGATTAATTTAATGTAAGTTATTCTTTATTTCATTTAATTAAAGTAAGTACAATCAATGTAGTAATTTTTTTTAGGTCACATAAATCAATCAATCTACTAATAACCCGATATTTTTTCAAAATTTTGACATGATTTCTATTGAAAATAAGAGACCATGAAAATATGAACTTGTATACAGAATTGAAAAATGAATTAAACAAAAAAAAAATATGCAATTTCACATCAAGCCAAACATATCTGCATAAAATGTTTATTTAGTTCACCATATTAAACAAAAAATAAACAAAAACCCACGCAAATACGATTAATTTGATACGGGTTAGTATTTATATCATTTAATTAAAGAACGTTAAATTACTCTAACAATAACTTGCTATTTTTGTAAAATTTTGACAGAATCTCCTTTTAAAATAAGAGATCATGGAAATATCAACTGACTTGATCCGAAATGTGTACACTCAAGTGTAGACGGTCAAGTTGTAGTAATAATTCAGTTAAGTCCGGAGTCGAATCCACAGAGAACTATGATTGATGTTTTGAAGTAAGCAATAATAGAGATCATGTAACTGGAAACTTTGAGAGTTTGAAATTGTGGGATTTCTTGAATAGAATAGAAGATTCTTTCCAAGAGTTTTCTAGACAAAATATAAGATAAATTCAAATGTAAAATAGTCACCCTTTAGCTTGAGGATTAGAACATGTAGTTAATCAACCGGTTTATTATACTCGTGTTTTATAACTCAATTAACTCTCATGTCAACAACAAGTTAACCGGAAGGTAAAGATGGACTATGAGAATTAAGCACATGATTCTGATGCCTTTTTAGAAGTTGACAAGAATTGTCTATGCCGAGATTTATCCCCGTCTACAAACAAGCAAGTGTTTCTACAAGGCATCTAACCATGACATTAATGTTCCATTCTTTAGATAAAGCACGATAATAGTGAAGATTGAAATGTGTCATAAAGATCTAGTCGAGGTACTTGCCTTGAACCAACGGATTTTTCTATGCAAGAGTCATCCATGACATAAAAAGAACTCATAGTTATACAAAGTACATTAGTTTTGCTAGATGCATTCAATCCTTTAATAAGTGAAATATAAAGCATTAAAGTATAAAGGAAATGCATAAATATAGCTTTCGGATAATCAATACATGTTCATCACTTCTTACTAAAAAGTGAATGAGGAACTACACACTCTTCATGGCTTGCGTAAAACTAGAAAAGTGAGTGATACTCATCACTCCAAGTAAAGAACTTACAAGGTAAAGTATAATAAGCGAAGAGCCGATCTTCATCAAAGAATGAGTGAATCACGTTCCACCCTTCACGGCTATGGTAAAGCTCTAGAGCCAAATGAAGTTAACATAATTTTCTGGTCAACATAATTCAAATTACATACTCCAATCGATAACTTTTTGTATATATTTGGAGTAATTCCATCACTAACTTTTATTATTTTATCAAAAGTATATTTTATCATGTAACTTAATAAAATTAGACAATCAACTGAAACAATGTTCAACTATTGACGAAAATGTATTAAAATAGTAGTAATCAACCGAACCAGTGTTCAACTATTGAGAAAAATGCATTAAAACAATAATAATAGTCATAAACTTCTTTGGAAATTGGCCTCAATTTCCAACTTCCGCCCCTGCTTAAAAACCATAACAAAACACAAAGCCCACAAAAAAAAAAAAAAATTCCATGATATTCATTTTACTTTATTTTCTCTTTTTCAAAAGTCAAAGCCAATTTTTAGGAGACCAAAACAGTAAACAACCACTAAAAATAATAGGTCCCAAAATTTTATCTTAGGCACTATGAAACATAAAATTGAACACTAATTGCATAATATTAATCTTTTGAATAACATTTTTTTATTTCTTTTTTCAGCTATGCAATTTGAAAATTATCTCGATATTTTTAGTTACACAATTTGAAATCTTTTGATAAATTATGTACATAGGTTGATTGTTTTTGTGTCTTGTTTGTAGAGTAAACTATCTTGATTTCTTTTTAAATTGATGATGGGTCGAGATTGAAAATTCACATAATTCAAAAACCTTAATCAACCCTCTTGGTATGCTTTGCGACTTCAAGTTTTTGCCCAAATTAAACCCTCATACTAAGAAAGCCCAAAAAAACAACACCCTAAAAAGACATTGTAAAAATTTTTTATTTAGGTAAAATATGTATAATAAATAGGAAATATTAGGTACCTTGACCGATGGATCTAGGGGTGCCGGTACTTCTTGCTGACAAACTGCATTATTTCATATGGACTGAAGTAAGTTGGTAGAACAGATGTGCTATTGTGAAATCTAAATATTTCAAATAGCAATTAAAATCAATTTGAGATTATTATTTTTTATAGAAAAAAACCTTGCAAAATTCTATCTAAAAATGAAACCACAAAAATTTCAACCTTTGTACATGCTTGCTTATTATTAAAACAAATATGTATTTATAGAAAGCATGACCCAACCAATTTATCGAACTCGCATCAAGCCACAAATTACCGAACTCAATCAAGTTTAACTCAAGAACATAATAATACCAATTAGTTTAACTCAATCCACATAGCAGTTTCATACCAAATTTAAACGTCAACGATGCACATAGCCAGACACACGTGTGTAAAACACCATGGAAAGTGGCAACCCTCAAGATTAACACCACGACTTAGAGTTCTATCTATTCTAAAATACCAACATTATAAAAATAATTGTACCATATCATAGGGCTGATTACACCAAGTAAATGACAGAACTTTAAAACACGGGCCTCTAACATAGTCTTTTAATATTTTGATTTAAACACTAATCTTTACATTGAATTAGATTATAGGTAATGCATAACTCTATTAATAACTATTTTAGGAATAAGATGAAGTAAGTTGATCATAGCAATAACAACAAAGGAGATAACAAAAAGTATTGTCATTTGAGTTCTTTTCATTGAAGCAATACAAGAAAACAACGAGTTAATCATATCGAAAATATTTTGAAAATAATTATTTCAATTGCTGTAAATACTTGTTGTACTTGCTTTTCTCTAACCAGTTGCACTTGAAGAGAACAGGTAATGAGAAACAATATTTAGATTCTACATACTTGATGTATACAACAAACTAACTGACTTTTACGAATCTATAAACATACCATAGGAGCAACCAAAACCGTTAACTTTTACCAATCTATAAACATACCACAAGAGCAACCAAAACCAATGTATTTATACCCCATAGCTATATAACCACCATGATAGATGCACAACCATTAATCGCCATGATAAACGCAACAAACAACACTAATGACACAACCCACTTCTCAAGTATTGAAAAGGTAAGTAAAATTTGTGCAAACTCCACCAAATAACTTGCTTCTAGAAAACCAAGTATTAATGGCAATATTTGAACATAAAAAGTTAAAAATGCTTCATACATCAAGTGTCCTACACAATCATACCCTTTACCAAAAAGTGATTTAAAGCATACCCAATGCTAATCTCTAGTGATGTGGTCAATTCACAATTTTACAGAGTCTTCACATCATATCCCTAATGTATACGGTACACACAACTAAAAAATATCTCAATGAATTGAACACAAAATCAAGAAAGAATAACCAATGCTCATTTGAGAGTTTAATTTGAACAATTATACCTGAACCATAATAGGTCTTTCTATCTCCAAATCCCTTCTTACTATCATCCCATAAGAACCCATTACTCGGGTTTTTGTTTCTCTCTCATTTTCAAAGTTATCCTCAATGTAACAACTAGATTTGTCACCAGTAAAACACTATATAAGCTCCAAAAACAAGCTCAAGAAAAAGGAGTTTTTGGAACCGACGCTTCAAAGCAATGGGGTTTTTCAAAAACATCCTAAACTTTGAACAAATTTGTGTTAAAGCAAAAGAGAGAAGACTTTATTATATTTTAGATAGAGACCCTA